CCCTGACTAAGTTCTCCCTGCTGGACTACAGAACAGATCATGTTATAGAGATGAGGAAATGGGAGGTGTTTTGTAGTCCAACAATAGGGAAAATGAGCAGAACTGACAGCACTGCTTGGAATTTAAAGCGGAATTCCACTCAAAAGTGGAAGCTCCGCTTATTTGCCTCCTCCCCTGCCATATTTGGAACCTTTTGGGAGGGGGGGGGGGGGACCTGTTCGACCCCTCCTCCCTCCCGCAGTCTCCTGGGAACTTTCACAGGTCTCAGAGGACTGCAGGACCAATTAGGGGCTGCATGCGCAGTGGGCACCCGTCTGTGAAGCCGCAAGCTGTCACAGCCTGGTGCCCACAGTTGAGATGCCAGTGCCATAGAGGAAAGAAGGGGAGAAGGGGCTGCGCGGGTGAGAACATCACTGGACCCCGGGACAGGTAAGTGTGTGTTTATTAAAAATCAGCGGCTACAGTTTTCGTAGCTACTGGCTTTTAATAAACAGTAAAACGATTGAAACTCTGCTTTAAGTGCAGCAGATGCAGAGTTTGTATCTAAATCAGAAAGTTAGGATCTAGCTTGATTTCTTCCAGATTTTTTTCTGTACTTATTAGCATTTTAAAGAAATAAAACATGGGGAGACGTGCATATATATATTACAGGGATGTACTAAATATGTTTTTTGCTCAGTTTGAAGGGCCAATCTAACCAAAAACAGGCGGTAGTGTTGTAAGTGGGTTCTTTGTAGACCTTCGGCCAATTCTCTTTCCACTCTTCTACCTTGGTAAGTGAATTTCTCCTCATGTATAAGTAACATAGAGTTGAGCACAGCAATTAGGCTAAATGAATAATGTATAAAATAAGGCATGGTGCAACATACAGCACCAGGGAGGGGTGCAACAAAAGCCTGTCAACACGCAGTATTGCTGATGAAGAGCCTACAAATCAACACAGTGTGACATCATGAGCTGAAGGGTTCGTACAATATTAATGTGAAACCTAATTGTCTAATCTCCTTTTACAGGACCGTGTCACTCTCCCTGCCATGGGCAGGATGTACTTCCGAAACAGAAAGTTGCCAACAGGGGCCCCCGGGCATTAGGGGATCATGGGGCCCCTGTGTCCTTGCCCAAACTCAAAAAAGCCTATGAAAAAGGTACCAGGGGCATCTCATGGGGCCCCCTACTGAACTCGGGCCCTTGGGTAGTGCCCGAGTTTCCAAATGGTCAGTCCGCCCCTGCTTGCGAAAGATATGTAGGTGCTCATTGTTCAAAAGTAGGCCTTAGCACATATAATATAAACAACCCTAGCTAAGAAAGCTCAAATATAAACTTTCCTAGTTAAGGATATATATATATATATATATATATATGTATATATATAAGGCACCTTGACAGAATTGGTATACTGACAGCAAGTGGGACAAACATTTGTGGACATCTGATCATCACACCTGTATAAGTTAGATAATACATTCCAAAACCATCAACCTATTGGCGCCGGCCAAAGATCATTTGACCACCGTGACAGCGAATCACGACGGTCACATGACCCTAAAACCCCGCCCCCCCTTCCAGCTTCTGGAACCCTTAAAGGGCCGGGAGGCGCTGGCGCCAAGGGGTTAATAAGGAGTTGACCCCATTTTGCATATGTTAGTCTCCATCTTCCTAGGAAGGTTCTCCCCAATGTTAAGCCAAATGAACATTTGTGAGGTCAGATACTGATGTTGGATGAGAAGACCTGGCTCACAATCAGCAGCTGAATTCAAGGTGTTCAGTAGGGATCACTTCAGGGCATTGTCTAGGCCACTCAAGTTTCTCTATACCATACTCATGAACCTATGGAGCCGGCTTTGTGCATAGCTATGCAGTCATACTGGAAAATAAAAGGGCCCTCCCCAAACTGTTACCATAAGGTTGGAAGTGCACAATTGTCTAAACTGTCTTTGGAAGCTGTAGCATTATTAGTACCCCTAACTAGAAACACCTAAGCTCAATCTTTAGGGTCTTTACATAGTTTTGACTATATAGAATCGGTATGAATGGGTAGAATGGGTAGAATTGGTAGTCAGTGGGCAACAGCAGGGGATGGCCTGAGTGTACAGATATACAAAAATAAATGGCCAGATCAAGTAGCCTATAGGCACCTTACAAGATAGAGCTGTAGGGTAGTAAAAGGCGTGATCACAGGCCCAAATGCAGTTGTGTCCACCATACTTCCACCCTTGACCATGAGTTATATAATGACCTGAGGTCCTTTGAAAAAATATCCATGCTCCATGACATTATGTTCACCAACTAAGCAGAACTATCACAGGCCCACGATTAGTTGTGCCCACCATGCTTACAGCCTTGACGATGAGATATGTGATGAAGTGAGGTCCTTTAAAAAAAATGTCCATACATTATGCTCATCAACTCAGCAGAAATATCCTTATAAACGTAGCTATGGATATGATTGGCCATAAAACAGAAAATTTAAATAAGGCACACATAGGTCCACATGGTGTTTATGTCAGACAATTTTTCACAAGACCACAACGTGCGTAAGAATAACTTTACAGTCACGCCTGACCTTGCAGGCTGAAAATCCATACCACCGGTCAGAAGATCTGTACAGTAAAATGTGTAACCTGTCTCCACAGCAAGTCCTGGCTGTGCTTTATTTAAGATACACGTCACGCGGACCCTATTTTTGGCAGCTTTTAAGCGTGGTCATGTTAGGCATGAGCATTGACCCCCTACAACTCCCTTCACTTTTCAAAGACAAACTTATTGGCAGGTTGCTTTCATCTCGGGAGTTAAAGTCACTTATGAGTCACTAGAATACAGTGTTCCCTGACATTGCAGGTCACATGTTATAACAGGTTGTATGGATGCAGGCAAAAGCAGATCTAATCTGATCCTGTTATTACAAAAACACTGAGAGTTTACTACAGGTTACAAACACAAGTATCCTCTCTAACACACCCAGAGCAAATATCTGTTTGGTACGTGTGTTATCAGAGAAAGTACCAATGATTTCCTCTTGTAGAAAGTTATGTTCACATGCCTCGGGAAACTAGATTTGCATACTAAACGTGATTTTTTAAGTTATTCCATTAATGTAATCCATTATACAAGAGGTCTAGCAATGGGGTCATTGAGAAGGCCTTCCTCACAAAGTAGAGTTCCAGGCAATTTTTTTAATGTTCTTTGGATAGAGGCTGGAGGAGTTAAACTAGCCATAGAAGAATCACTTCTATTCATCCAGCGGTTTGAACTAAATAAACTGACCCGATTCCGCCATCCACCATCGAGGTGGATCGGATAATCCTCCTCGCTGTGTCATTGTATTCTGACAGCAGGGAGAGCTCCTCACCATCAAAGTACACAGATTGGCCTGCAATCGATAGCCTAGAGCAGGGGTCTCCAAACTTTTCAAACAAAGGGCCAGTTTACTATCATTCAGACTTTAGTAGGGCCAGATTGTGACCAATAAGGGTCGAAAATGTCCTGGACCCAGAATCAGTGAGAATTAACCCCGCCTCAGGGTTAGTAGTCAGTTACATAGCGCCTGTGGTCAGCAGGAGGAGGAGATATAGTAGCCCATCATTCATATTACTGGAAGGAACAGTACCCCATCATTGGTATGAGCGGGAAGAATAGTACTCCAACATTGGTATCAATGGAAGAAACAGTGCCATATTGTTGGTGTCGGTGTGTATCAGTGGGAGGAATAGTGCCCCATTATTGATACTAGTGGGTGGAATAGTGCCCCCATCATTGGTATTAGTGGGAGGAATAGTGTCCCATTGTTTGTATCAGTGGGAGGAATAGTGCCCCATTATTGATACTAGTGGGTGGAATAGTGCCCCCATCATTGGTATTAGTAAGAGGAATAGTGCCCCATTATTGATACTAGTGGGTGGAATAGTGCCCCATCATTGATATTAGTGGGTGGAATAGTGCTCCCATCATTGATATTAGAAGGGAGAATAGTATCTCATCATTAGTGTCAGTGGCGAAATTATGCCCCACTGTTGATATGAGTGTGGAAGAAATAGTGCCCCAAGAGCCAGATAAGGACTAGAAAAGGGCTGCGTCCAGCCCTCGGGCCACAATTTGGAGACTACTGGCCTAGAGTGCTGATTGAGTGGCTAAAATTCAACAAGGTTTTAAACAGACTTCAGTTGGTAGATCGACTTCTGTTCAACCACATTGGGCATACATAGATCGAAATTCGTCCAGTCCCAGCTGAACCAGCTGAGTTTCGATCCATGTATGCCCAGCTTTAGAACCACTGTCTTTATTGCATCTTTATGTCGGCAGGGGAGATTTAACCTCACTCACATTGTGTCAATAAGACAGGATGTGCAGGGAAATCTCTTCAAGAAAGACTCCATCTTGGTTTTTTGCTGTTTGTGTTGAGATTTTCCTTCATTTCCTATTCTGTGTCAACAGGACAGGAAGAGAGGGGGCAGCCTTAACAACCATTGGAACAGAAGGCCAGCACACCATGAGCATTAAAAAAAGTTCCATGCAAGACAAAACCACCGATTCCTCTTTATCAAGTTGACAAAACAGATCAGGGAACCTCATGTCTCCAAACTGTTGGTTTGGTCATATATTAAACTTTAGTAAACAATCTTTCATACATATGGTGCAGTGGCTTGTTATTCCAATGGATTTTTAACAGTGCCTTTTTTGGTCTAGCAGCCCATATACCATGGTGATTTCATGACAGCATGGCATGTATGGTTTATTCTAAGCAATTAGAACAGGCAGAAGTCCAAACTCTCTCTAAGTCTATCAATAATGGTTTCCCAAATTCTCTCAGGGACTTCCTTGATAAGATCTCTGCACTTATGTTCTACTTCATACCTGCCATGCTAGATAGAAGGGGGTCGAACAATGAAAATCTCAGGGACACCATAAATACATTTTTTACATTTCCATTAATGTGTATATATATATTATTGATTATGTATTACCTAAAAAATAGCAAAAATATTTTTAAACATTATACTGACCTCCAACCACAGCCAGGCCAAGTACAAGCAAAGGGCTTTTCCCCTGTATGTCTCCGTAGGTGAGCTTTGAGATGACTGCTCTTGGTATACATTTTGGTACATCCAGGAAAGGAACATTTGTGCATTTTTATCAGTTCAGCAGCTGGGTTTTTTTGGAACTTCTGACCCGACATGTGTCCAGATTGTCCTTGAGATCCACCTCCAGGGCCCATGGGTTTAGCAGCAATAGGTACCGGGGCGATACGGACAAATTTAGACGACAAGTTTGATGACTGGACCAGCTGTGGGACCAGTGCAAATGTCTGGCCTTGGATGTTGACCAGAAGTTGGGCCACTTTAATGTTCTCGGGAAACTGTGTTGGGGAGGCCTGGCTGGTGTTTGACTCTTGTTTGATCTCTATGGGCTGGATCTGAAGTATAACTGGTATCCCGCCCTCCACAGTGAGGGTGCCCGAGCTTTTACTGCTGGACTCTTCCTGTGAAAAGATTTTGGACTCATCCTTTGTATCCTCTCTCATATTGTTGGTGACCACCATAGGGGTCTGTTTGAGCTGCTCAGAAAAGAAATGACCACAGTTCCTCAGCTCTCGAACTTCATGTTGAGTTTCAGCCTTGAAGTCTGTGTTCATTTTTTCCTCCAGAAACTCCTGGATTTCATCCAAAGTAGGATGAAACAATGGTGTTTCCTCTAAGTCCACCCCAAATTCCGGGACTCTGAAGAACTCCTCTTTGACCATTGTCTGTTGATTTCTTTTGTCCCACCAAGACAAGGAGGTGTTGCTCAAGGAGGTTTGGGACAGAAGGTAGTCTAGAATGCTATCCTGGCTCTCGGCGCTACATGTGCTGCCATAACTGGAGCTTAGGACTTGAGAGTCCGGACTGGAACAGGATCGAAAGCTGGAAGAGTCACTATCATCCTCCGAGGTGGGAGAAGGCAACATCTGGTAGGCCCTTCCACCCATTAACATCTCGGTGGTGAAACCAATAGCAGATGGATTGGTTGAGAAGCGCTCATCTCTAAGAAGCAAATGATCCACCATTCCTAGAGGAGCTTCTGAGAGGGTCCTAGCGGCATAAGAAAAGTGGCAAATACAGGAGGGACTCTGAAAAAGACAAAAAATTGTATGTTAAATAGGGTGATAACAAACGAAGGTAATCCATTCAATGTTCTCTGCTCTTCACCAGTAAGCCAAGTATCAGCCCTACCCTAGTAAATATTGTAGCCTATTAGTCCTTAAATATAGTGGTTGCATTTTTTCCTTAATATTCACCTGGTGACCTTGCTAGTAACACATCTCCTGTCCCAGGGTGACAATGCACCCTCACTGTACAGTCTCTATGGAACAATAGCATTATCACTACAGGACAGAAAGAGTGTTAAAATTACAGAATACCTCCCACTCTACTCGTCTCTATAACACAGGGGAGGTGTTCTGTAGTCCTCCGAAAAAAACAAGGTAAGGCTGAAAACGACTGCTTTTCTGGCAGGGTCAACAGCAAGGATGAGCTTGGGTTTGGTCTGAACATGGAAGTTAGCTGTGTTGGGCCAATGAGCTGCAGGCAGGTGATTTGCCATCCCGCAGCTGCTTGTATACAAAAAGACAAGGATGCTTGTGCCATCACTGACCTAATATGGCCAAATGGCAGAAAAATGCCATGAATCTCTTACCTGCAGCTCTGGGTTTGGACTAAGACCAAACTCATCCCTGCTCTTGATCCTGCCAGAAATGTTTCTTTCTTTGTTGCTGTTAGGGTTCATTCACACATGCAGCAGTACTACGCCACCTCCTCACCGCCTGCTTTAACCTCTAAAGTGCAAACCCACTGCGCCGCGACTACATACATTACTTGCCAATGCCATTTGCATGCCGATGTGATGCAGCCCCTTTTATGTGAGTAAGTAGTGTTCCGCGGGTGGTACTGCCTGTCAAATGCGACATGACACTTCATTTTTGCTGACGCCACAAAGTGTTGAGTCCTGAGCGTCTCAATGTCCTTGTATCAGGGGCGGACTGACCATTTGGAAACTCGGGCACTGCCCGAGGGCCCGGGATCAGTAGTGGGCCCCATGAGATGCCCCTGGTACCTTTTTCATAGGCTTTTTTGAGTATGGGCAAGGACACAGGGGCCCCATGATCACCTATTGCCCGGGGGCCCCATGAGTTGTCAGTCCGCCCCTGCCTTGTATAGTTGGGGCATTGGGGGTTGGTAAAATGTCTGTTTGTTTGTCTGTATAGACTGATTTTTTTTTCATTATCATTCAGCTGCTGCACCTGCAGGACTCTAAGGAGGAAAGTGGCAGGGTCTGCAACCCTTTAAACTTGATTTCCCTTTGGGAGTATATCACCGAAAAACCATTTTTGTTGCAGGAGATGCAAAAAGTCTGACTTGTATCTTAGTGCAGACGTCTTGGAAAATTAGCAAGCCAATCATAAAGCAGGAAATTACATTTCTGGGGGGCAGTCTGCACAGCATCTGTGTAGGGAACACCTCCAAGTTGCCATATTGCATTGCATTTTACAGAAAATTACAGCACTGCAGATTGAAAGGGAAAGAACATTTCTAATAATATTCAATTACATTATGACTTATGTTGCAGTTTTATATATTATTTATTTTTTTTATTTCCTATGTTTTTTCCCATGAAAGTGGTTACCCTTTAGGTTTTTTTTTTTTAACAATTGACCTACAAAAAATTTACAAACTTTTTTGATATTAAAGTGAAAATCGACTGTTGCAGTAAGCAAGCTAATGTGTTTTTCCCACAAAAGTGGTTACCCTTTCATTATTATTTTTTTTTTATTTGAACAATTAACCTACAAAAATAAATACAAACATTTTTGATATTAAAACAAAAAAGGACTGTTGCAGTAAGCACACTAATGATATAAAAATCAATCCATCAGTCTACCAACTCAATTGTTCTTTTGTTTTTCTATCCATGTATGACCAGCTTTACGCTTACTTTCCATCTGGTAAAACATTTGAGTTCATTTTCTAATGACAAATAGACTATGGGGTTGATTTACAAAAGGCAAATAGACTGTGCACTTTGCAAAGTGCAGTTGCACTCTGCAAGATCAGTTGCGCTCAGTGGCATCCTGAGGCAGGTGCGGGGGGTGCGCGCTGCACCGGGTGACACCTACCACACAGGGTGACACCGGATCCGCTTCACAAAAAGTTAAGTTGTCCAATCCATTATGCTCAATCCGCAGATCCGAACCATCCTGTGGGTATCGTCGGCATGCAACCTATACTGGGTGACACCGGATCCGCTCCACAAAAAGGTAAGTTGTCCGATCCATTATGCTCAGTCCGCAGATCCGAACCATCCTGTGAGGATCATTGGCATGCAACCTACATGGGGTGACACCGGACCCATTCCACTAAAAGGTAAGTTGTAAAGAAAGCCGACGATCCCCGCAGGATGAATCGGATCTGCGGATTGGCGAGCATAATGGATCAGAATTTGATTCATTATGCTCAATCCGCAGATCCGATCCATCCTGCGGGGATCGTCGGAAGGGGTGTCACCAAGTGTTATCGCACCGGGTGACACCAACCCTAGGGATGCCCGTGGTTGCACGTAAGCTTAGTAAATAAGGGGAAGCTCTGCTGACTTCCATCATCCAATCATGTGCAAGCAAAAATGCACTTTTTTTTTTAATTTCCCTTGCACGTGATTGGGTATTCTTTGCAGAGTGAAGCGCTACCTCATTCACTAAGCCCTGGAACAACTGCACTTGCAAAGTGCACAGTCTATTTGCCTTTAGTAAATCAATCCCTATGGTCTTTGCAAAGTGCAATTACACTCTGCGAGAGCAGTTGCTCCTCATCTTAGTAAATGAGAGCTCTGATGACTTCCATCATCCAATCATGTGGAAGCAAAAATGCTGTGTTTTTTTTTTTTTTTTCTTGCACGTGATTGGGTATTCTTTGCAAAGTGAAGCTTTACCTCATTTACTAAGCTCCGCAGCAACTACACTTTGCAACGTGCACGGTTTATTTGCCTTTAGTAAATCAACCCCTATGGTCTTTGCAAAGTGCAGTTGACTTCCATCATCCAATGATGTGAAAGCAGAAGTGCACTTTTTTTTTATTTCTCTTGCACGTGATTGGATGATGGAAGTCAGCAGATCTTCTGTTCGTTTACTAAGCTCTGGAGCAACTGCACTTTGCAAAAACCATATTGGTTGATTTACTAAAGGCAAATAGACCATGCACTTTGCAAAGTGTAGTTGCTGCGGAGCTTAGTAAATGAGGTAAAGCTTCACTTGGCAAAGAATACCCAATCACGTGCAAGGAAAATAAAAAAAATAACAACATTTATGCTTGCACTTGATTGGATGATAGAAGTCAGCAGATCTCCTGTTCATTTACTAAGCTCTGGAGCAACTGCACTTTGCAAAGACCATAGGGGTCGATTTACTAAAGGCAAATAGACTGTGCACTTTGCAAAGTGCAGTTGCTCCAGAGCTTAGTAAATGAACAGATCTGATGACTTCCATCATCCAATCATGTGCAAGGGAAATTTTTAAAAAAAGTGCACTTTTGCTTTCACATCATTGGATGATGGAAGTCAGCAGATCTTCTGTTCATTTACTAAGCTCTGGAACAACTGCACTTTGCAAAGACCATAGGGGTTGATTTACTAAAGGCAAATACACTGTGCACTCTACTGACTTCTATCATCCAATCACGTGCAAGCACAAATGATTTTTTTTTTTAATTTTCCTTGTACGTGATTGGGTATTCTTTGCAAAGTGAAGCTTTACTGCATTTACTAAGCTCTGGAGCAACTGCACTTTGCAAAGTGCACGGTCTATTTGCCTTTAGTAAATCAACCCCATTACATGCAGGGCAGGAAGTGGAAGTGCGAGTAAATCCCGCTAACAGAGTCCTGTATAAAAAACAGGAATTTTGATCCTTCCTTACTCAACCAAAAACTAAGAAAAAAAAAGTTTTGGCTGGACAACTTATTTTCGTTTTTATTTATTTATTTATTTTTTTCGTTTTCGTAAAAGCTTCAGCGAGAGTGAATTTCATACTGGAACATTATTCTGGCCACTCGTAGAATCAACAAAAACCTTTCTTTCTGTGATGGGGGACCTGCTGCATGTCAAGCTCTGACTTCTTGGAGCCAGGTTCCCTTTAAGTAAACTGTAGAAGTCATCGCTGTACATCGCAGCCAGGAGAACTCTGAGTACATTCTGTATCGTTACTCCCTTTGGCCCCCCCCAAAAAAAAGCGATAAATGAAAGGAGGAATGTCTTGTTAATGAGAAGGCTTGATGCAGGGACATACGGACCGAGCTGGAACTGGCTATCAGCTCCGCGTACAGGGCGAGATTGCTGGCTCCACCGGGGCGCACAGATAAAGGGTCCTTTCTGAGAAAAATTGCGAGCATTACAAGAGTACCAGTCATCCCCCCCCCCATCATATGAGGGCCGTGACTGTGCATGTATGAAAACCCCAGTCATGTTGCCTCCAGCACAGGCCTCAATTCTTCATGCTACACCGCTGGCTTCTGAACATGAATAGTCAATGGAGGGTTATAGACGGCCTTAACCCCCCTGTTTCCAGGGTCAGCCTCTGCTGAGTTCAAGGGAAAGTAGAACGCGGTGAAACATCGTTTTCATCTCAACTAGTCAAATGGAAAAAAAGAATCAAGAATTCGCAAAGTCAAAGATCCGTGTGCCCGCGGTGGCTCTTGATCAGCTTATTGTAGCCTCATGGG